ATTGACAGCCAAAGTAAACTTCCTGAAAGAAAGTATGTTTTCTTGAAATTTTTGCCTTTGCTTTTTAAAGTAATTGCACCATTTGAGTCTCCCTTGAATCTCTCATATTTCAGTTCATAAATTTGTGTAAACTTGCATACCAATCAAACTTATAAGTTTATATGTTAATTTGAGCTTCCATATACAAGAGAAAATATGCATTCTTTGTCTCTCTAAACTTGATTACTTCAGTTAACATAATTTTCCAAGTCTTTTCATGTCTTCACAATTGATATTATTCTTTCTAAGGAATGGATGAATAAAATTCCATTGTATATATATATATATATATATATATGTATATATATAATATTTTCTTGACCTATTTGTCCTTTGAGGGGCATTTGGACTGATTTCATACCCTGGCTATGGTGAATAGTGCTGTAATAAATATGGTAGTGCTGGTGGCTTTACTATATCCTGTCTTGGTTTATAATCGTTTGGAGAAATACCCAGGAGTAGAATTGCTGCATCATAGAGTAGCACATGGAAACAGATACTTGAAAGGGGTGATATGGGGTCCAAGAGAGAGGTAAAGATGAACAAAGAAAAGAAGAGTGGTGAAAAAAGTAAAGAATTCAAAATATATCCTACAAAATTAAGAAAATTCAGGGAAGGACTGGGTAGGGAGAGATTATGAGAATGTTGAAAGGGGCAACACTACTGAAGATGCATTGTATTCATAACTGCTTTGTTAAATGACAACTTCTTTGTACAACTTCTTAAATAATAAAAAATATATATAAAGCCAAGAAAAAAAAAAGTATGCTCCTATTGTTTTCAGCCCTTCAGTTCCAAACAGCATTCTCTGCTGCCCTCTAGAGGGTAATGAGCCATTAGAGAGACTGATGGAAAACAAAATAGGTAAGCAAAGGAGAAATTATTTTCCCTTTTCAGTGACAAAGAAAATAGAGCATAGTGTTTGGTGAGTGAATAATAGATTTAAACAAAATGAAATTAAAAGTCTTGAAATACGTATCCATGTATCCAAATTCATTTATAAAATTTAAAGACTATGTGTGTCTTAATTCGAACTGGTAAAGTGTTATTTTTACATTTTAATTGCTGGACGGGGCTTTTCATTTGGCATGTATCAAGGTTCATGAAAGACAAAAATGTATTATCATATTTTTCTTGTAGAGCCTTTTGTTTTCTTATGATGTGAGCTGTCCATGACTTAGCTTTAATATTAGGTTATCAATGATTTGCAAATTTTCATTTTATGAATGATCTATCCAGTATTCCAAATCCTCTTACTCCTTTGTTGTAATTCATTTTTCCAACAATTCTAGTAAGTGGCTATTATAATCCTGTGTTTATAATGAAAAGACTTGGCTATGGAAAGATTAGGTGACTTCATCAATATCCCAGTACTGGTGGTTGTTTGGAAAGTCAAGCTAGGTTGGATAAACTTGCAAACAGACAAATGAAGTTCAACTCTTTTTCTTAATGATTTTTATTGTAAAAATAGTGTACAGAGGGCTTACAGTTACATGAGTAAGGTAATGAGTACATTTTTTACTGAGTGTTGTTACCTCCTCCTTTGTTTTTCCCTCTTCCCTCCCTACCTCCCCAACTCCTCCCTCCCTCCCCGTTATAAAGTTTGTTTTCAACATAGTGTCTTGTACATCTCATTGTTACAATGGGTAAACCTGTATCCTTATTTCAGCCTTTTGTTATTTCCCTTCCCCTCTCAAATTAAAAAGATGTATATACAAGATGTAGGGCACCAACATCAAATATAGTGAAAACAGGGGTTATACCGTGGGGGAAGCAGATACAAAAGAAGCAAAAAAAAATTACATAGTACATTTTAAAGAAGTGTTCATCTTTCTACATACATCATTCTATCACACCATCATAGTCCTTGGGGAGAACAGTGATTTCTCTTTTAAATAGATTGACAAGAACGTAAAATCTGTTTGATATTCTTGCCATTCCTCTAAACTCTATTCGTTTGAAGGGTACCATCATCAACCCATCAACCACCAACTCGTCATTACCTCTCTCTTTGGCTAGATACACCCCATTCACTTTGGCTCATCCATGACAAGGTACTTTTAGTTTTGCTTCTGAATAATTCCATAGCCACTATATTGCCCTTACTTGAACAAGTCTATGCACCAAATACAAAAATGCCAGTTTTAGCTGGGTGCCAGTGGCACACGCATGTGCAAACCCTAGCTATTTAGGAGTCTGAGAACTGAGGATCCAGGTTTGAAGCCAGGCTGAGCAGGAAAGCCCATGAGACTCTTCTCTCCAAGTAACTAGCAAAGCAAAGCAAAACAAAACAAAAACAAAACAAACAAACAAAAAAAAAAAACAGATGCAGAGCTGGGGCTCATGTGGTAGAGTGGTAGCCTACAATAAAAGAAGCTCTGGGACACACACACACCACCACCATCACCACCACCACCACCACCAACAATAACAGCAACAACAAACCCTCCAGTCTTTCCTCCAAACACAAATTTAATAATGGCATTTTAAAGGCATCTCATCTCTAATCATATCATTGTCCTCTTTCCCTTTAAATACAATTCTTAGAGATTTCATCTAAAAGACTGTCTCCTTCCCTTCAGTCAAAAAATAGTCAAGTAGTTGTATCCAGTGAAAGAATTATTTTAACCTTCTAGGGTAAGAAAGCAGACATACAGATGAAAATACACAATATATTGCAAATATTGTGGGTCAATAGTGTAGGCAGTGTGTATCCTAAAAAAATCCAAGAAATTTCCAGATTAAGATTTAAGAAGACAAGTAAAAGCCTGCAAGCAGTACTGTCTTCCACACAGAGCAAGGCACAGAGTTACAAACTTAGCCACAACAGATAATCTTGTAAATGTGACAATACTTTAAAAATTGTCCTCACAATCTCTTCCCCCTCACTTATTTTTGTATACTAATTACACAGTGTAGGATTTCATTTTATTTCCATACATGCTTCTGAATCCTTTTCAAGTGGGTTTCAATCATATGTGCTTCCCTCCCATGTACTCTCTTTTGCTCCTCCCACAACCATTGGTTCTTTCCCCAAATAATCTCCCATTTACGTTCCATTGCATTTTTCTTTAAATTCACTGTCTATGAAAGAAATCATGCAGTAGTTGTTTTCTAAGGTATGCAGACAATGAATAGCAATTAAGTGAATTTCTCAGCAGTAAAGCAATTAGTATTTGTAAAAGGTCCTTCTGGCAGTAATTTATGAGTTTAGATGGAAAACAGACAGAAAATTCTAACAATTTTTCAATTTGAGGATGGTGAGTACCTGAACTAGATAAAATAGACATTTAGAAACAATGGAGATATAAAAACTGGAATGTAAGTTATTCAGAAGCAGAGATCTTTTGCTCATGATGTATCCTGTGTTAGTCAGCTTTATGCTGCTATCATAAAATATCTGAGACAACTGATGTAATAAATAAAAATTGATGTAGGGCGCTGGTGGCTCATGCCTGTAATCCTAGCTACTTGGGAGGCTGAGATCTGAGGATAACGGTTCAAAGCCACCCGGGCAGGCAAGTCCGTGAGACTCTGATATCCAATAAATCACTAGAAAACCGAAGGTGCCTCTTTGGCTCAAGTGGTAGATCCCTTGCCTTGAGCTGAAGAACTGAGGGACAGCGCTCAGGCCCAGAGTTCAAGACCCACGATAGACCAAAAAAAAAAAAAGATGTTATGTTTTCAATCCACAGTCTCCTGGCCCTGTTGCTTTTGGGATTGTCATGAGGTAGCAGATGATGGGAGACTGTATAACAGATGGGAAGCAATGTTCATGAGAGAGAAAGGGCTCCAGACCCAGAATCCAAATCATGGACACATCTTGAATGAGCCAATGATTTCTACTAGGCCTCTTCTTCTTAAGTAGTACTAAGCCATTTGAGATCCTTGGGGAACAGCCCAGATCCCAACTATAGCATAGCCCCCAATCACCAAGGACAGTGACTACCAAGAATAATGTCTTCATTCTGGAGACTGATGCAAGAGAATTGTAAGTGCTAAATGAGTCTGAGCCAACAAACGCAAGAGACTATGATCTCCCATTAACAAGCAAAAAAAACCTGAAAGTGAAGTTGTGGTTCAAGTGGTAGAGTGCCAACCTTGAGAAGAAAAAAGTGAGAGAATAAGCCCCAGTACTGTCATGCATATACATATGCACGTGTGTGCACAGACTCACAAGCATTTAATAATGTTAATAATTAATAATTCCTAAAAGAAGTAACATACAACTATAACAATAAAGAATTAAAATTTATAATATGTAAGATTATAACATGCTTCTGCAATATGGCATTAAAAAATTACATGTTAGTATCATTGTATTGAAAAAACTGTCTAGAGACAAGTGGAAAAAATAATTTATTGTCAATTCTTTTATACATCAACATGGGACATTTATACATTTATGGAATAGACTGATAGGAAACACTAAATTTAGGGACAGACATTTTCACATATAAGTATACTATATTTTTCTGAAGATAGATATTAATAAATTATTAGTGACATTATAAGAGCAATAGGCCTTTTCTTCCAATAACACATTCTATGTTGAAATTATACTGACTTTCCTGAACATGATGCCCTGGATAAAATCTCATTCTAAGCTAAGGAAAGGAAGCTCATTTCTGGAAATAGAAGGTCAAGAATGGCTCTAATAACAGTATCCTGGCAGTGCATTTCCAGCCTTATTGAAAGCCCTAATGTCTACCCTAAGCTAATGTAGTCACTCAACATGAAACAGTAAATTTCAGTAAGAGCTGTGAGTAGCTAAGAAAATTTATGTCATTACTTTATTTTGTTGTTGTTACAGTCATGGGACTTAAACTCAGGATCTAGGTGCTCTCCCTGAGCTTCTTTGCTCAAGTCTAGTGCTCCATTTTTGGTGTTTTTGGTGGCTAACTAGAGATAAGAGTCCTACAGAATTTCCTGTCTGTACAAGCTTCCAACTACAATCTTCACATCTCAGCCTTCTGAGTAGCTAAGATTACAAACATGAGTCACCAGTGCCCAGTGAAATGTAAATTTTATTACAATATAAATGATAGCACTTCAAACAAATTATGATTGCTACATGACTTGAATCCAATGATTTAATCATCATAATGTGTATTATATTTTCAAAAGAAAATTAGCATACTTTAAAATAGTCACTCTTTCCTTAGCATGGTATTAATTCTTACTTTGGAAGTCTGAAAATAAATATCATCTTTTCCTAAAACTTAGATTCACTCCATTACAAAATGATTTCTATAATGATATACACCAAATATGATATAAAGTTTGTTCTAGGTTATAGTCATTAAAATATACATATACATATATATGGAGCATTAAACAGATTTGGTGAAGCATGATTATATACATACACACACAGCAAAATACTCTTCCATTTTATTTAAATTCAACAAATATTTATTGGATGCCTACCACTTGCAGGCATCAACAGTTAAGGTTATCCTTGCAGTAGATTTTAAGACACATGAAATGCACATCATCCACATTAAAAGCCAAACTTTACATAATATATGAAAATCTTAAAAATAATCAAAGCAAAGTGAATACTGAACAATGGATAGTATGAAATTGACTTAAGAGTACAGGGAAAAAAATCAAAGAGGACAGTCAAAAAAATCAGAATCTTATCCTTGGCTTGGTGTCTGGAGATCACAGAATCTTCATCTGCAGGCCTCCATCCCAAGGGAAGAGGTTCAGTTATCATCCTGATTTATTTCCTTAAAAGAGTGGAAGGAATGTGGTTTTAATTTGCAATGATCATAAAATTTACAGTGTCCCCTAAATACAGACTTCCCTCACAATGCTGTCTGTAGGCACAGCCAGCTTCTATAACTCATATGTATTAAAATTATGGGTCAAATTATCCTTAGGACCACCCAACTAAGATGGTCTACATTTACATCTCATTGGTAAACATGTCAAGCTCCTGGGTAAACTGCTGAAAGTAAAACCAACTGAAAGAAGACAAATATTTAAAAAGCTAGCATTCCATTCCCTTCAAGACTGGATTATACAAAAAGAAATATGATCTAGTCTCATCTCTGAAGAACCAGGGGGTCAACAAGAGAACAAATGTCCCTGATTTCTGATATGACTCCCCACACCCCATAGGGAACAGAATCCAACCAGCCATGATCTTGGGGAAGAGGCCAGTATAAGTGGGAGAATGTCCTCAGGACAAAGCGTTCTGGCTAGAGTTAGAGCCACAGTATTCTAAGAATCTAAGGGACTTCCTTCAAGAACTGTTTTGATTCTTTCAAATTATAAATCACTCATCTCACTAGAAGAAACCCCCAAGGGACTTGGCTTTGAATCTGTTCCCATGGGGAGACACTGCAACCCTAAGAAATGTCTTAGGCTTGATGGCTAAGGAAAATGCCCATTAACTGCAGCCCTTCCTTGATGGGTCTGGGGATCTCAGAACCAGTTGAGGGAGTAGCGGAGAAAAGGGCTGAGCTTGTTCCTCTCAGTCCACTTACCTCAGTCATTTTTGAGCTGGGTTACAGAGAAAGAGCAAAACTCAGGTATGATCTATCTACCGTTTTGCTTTGAATTTCATTACCAAGACTGGCAGCCATAAAATGTTCCTTAAAAGTATGCATTGTAACTAGATCATTCAAGCTGCAATTATTTCCACCAAGTTACTGAAGAGTTAATTTCTGAAAGAATTCTTTCCAAATGAAGTCTGTGTTCATTGATTATGGTGGACTCCCTATTTTCTATTCTCTTAGAAATGAGAATTACACTGAGATTAGTCATACCTCTGTCCCTGTGCTTTTTCTGGATAAGAACCAGACTTGCATTGGTTCTTTTTTGCCCTTCATGGACACAGGGCCTCTGTGCTCCAACTGAAATTGGGGATCTGAATTTTCTGGAGACATAAGGCACCTAAAAGACAGGACAGAAGGAATATAGACAGAAATAGAGTAAGGTTGTATAGAGACTGGAAACATTAAAAACATATTGCAGTCTTATTTAAAGGCATTAATGCTTTAGAAACAATGGTCATGCCATGTAAGGATTTCTTATCTAATCATTTAAAACAGAAACAATAACAGTCTAAAAAAACCCAAAAACATCCAGTTAACTCACATCAAAGCATGTTTTCACCACAACTCAGTAAATACAGGACTGTTTCTCTTACCTGTATGTGTATTCAGACACATTAATTTTCCCCTTTTCTCCTGTGGTTTCTGTTCTGCTAGTGAGGTTGACAGTGTTTCCAAAGAGACAGTATCGAGGCATTCTCTGTCCTATGACGCCGGTCACCACCTCCCCAGTGTGTATCCCTATTGTTATCTGCAGAGACCAGAACTTGACTTCAATAAATGTCAACTTACTTACATCTGACATTTTGCTTTCTTTATGTTACAGAATAATGTAGATATGATACAAAACAGAATAACTATGTATGAAAACCACACACCTACTCTTGACTACTCTCCATACCCTTACCAAACTTCTGTCTCCCAAGAGAAATATTTAAAGATGATGATGATTATTATTACTGTTAACTATTAAAGATGTGATTGGAACACCTTGTATGAGATGCAGGAAAGTGGTTAATAAAACAAAAAGGGAAAGAGGTTTGATCTTGTCTTTAGGGCCACGGCACAGGCTAATTTCAAATACATATTTCCCATTTCTATGAAATAGTGAGCTCAACAAAATATCTTGGTCTTTACTCTCAAAATACCCTTCCTTGTTTGTATTAATGATTTACCTGGACAAGGATATGAGTCAGTTCTCCACAAAGGATTTCTATTAATATTATGATATCTTTATACTACCTTTTTATGTACAAACCTGAACAGATTCACCATCTACTTGAACCTGGCCAGCAATTTCCATCATGTCTAAGGCCAAGTGGCAAATGGACCGTGCGTGGTGGATGCATGGCTCGGGCAAACCACTCACTGTCATGTACTTGTCACCAACAGTCTCCACCTAATGCAACACACACATGTACATGTTCAATGGTTAGCATATAAATGATTTTTTCAATTATTCCACTAGTAAAAACTATCTCTCCCAATCCAAATGCATTGAACTCTGACAAAATAAACCCTTATAAATTATTTACAAATTATACATTCTGATCTATGGTCAGGAGCAAGTCTAATTATAGATTTTCTTCTAATACACAATGAGTTTCCCATCTGAGATCCCTGAAAATTTAACAGAATAATTGAATACTGCATTTGTCACTAAAAGAGTGATGGTACAAAACTAATTGGCTAAACCAGGTATCAGTGGCTCACATCTGTAATCCTAGCTACTCAGGAGGCTGAGATATGAGGTGAGGATTGTGGTTTGAACCAGCACAGATGAGAAAGTCTGTGAGACTCTTATCTCCAAGTAAACAGCAAAAAAGCCCAAAATGTAGCTATACTACAAGGGGTAGGGAGGTAGCCTTGAGCACAATGGTTTAGGAAGGACACCCATGACCTGAGTTCAAGCTCCAAGACCAGCACACACACACTCATATATAAAACTGTCAATGCCCAAAGTTCAGTGATTTCTCATGGTTACTCACCATTTATTTTCATGAAATTTTCAGCAAGTGCTACACTGTACCTCAGAAAATGACCACAAAATAAATGATCCTGTGAAATTTTATCACATGCCTGGAGATGGTTAACATTCTGGCCTTATAAAACAATATTCCACTGACTTCATTTGCTAATATTAAATCTGTTTCTACTTGAAACCAATGGCAAAAATACTTATAAATGTTTAGCTGTCAGTTGTTGTTATGTCAAAGTACACTTCAGTCCTAGGACCTTTCTCACGCTCCATGATTTCTTTATGGTGCAAAGCATTTATAGATTTCAGTAAAAGTGTCTTTTGCAGGCACCCACATGAATGCCATGTTTATAGTAAGTATGATTAAACAGTCTGCACAGATTTGGTAACCTAAGTGCAAAGAAGCTGCTGAGCATTCCACTTTAATCAGAGAAGCATCAGCTCCATGAAATGCTTGTTTGGGTTACAAGGAGAAGAAGGTAATTATTTAAAGAAATAGTAAGTCATGATTCATGGAGACTCATTGTACTCAGATGCAGCTATAGTCTGAAAACCATGGTAGCAGAACTTGTAGAAAGTAAACAGAATCTCAGACCCCAAACAGCATTGCCTTGGGTGCTCCAGGACTTGCCTTATAAACAAATGGGTTTTTCCGTGAATCAGTCAGTGTGTCAAATCTGGTGTAGAGATCATTGAGAAGGTTGACAATCTTCATGGCTCCTTCACCAGAGGCATGCTTGCTGCAGAACACATTGAAGCCCACAATGCCACTGAAGAGGATGGTCACATTGTCATATCTTTTGGCAGGCACTGGACGCTTATGTCTCAGCTCATTGGCAACAGATGGAGGAAGGACAGAATACAGCAGTCTGTGGGGATTGTGAGAAAGATGCTGTAAGACATGTTGGGCAAACCTTGGATGCTTTTGCTGTCATAGAGAATCAGTGACATCCTAAAAATAATCAAATATCAGCTCTTATGTGAGTGAAAGGTGACATTAAACACATAAACCATTTGTTCATTTTGATCATATGCTTCCTAGATTTAAGACAATCCAAAATAAAGACAATCCAAACCAAATAAATATTAGCTAAATAAACAAACAAAGAGAAAATAAAAATCAGAAAGGACTAGCAACAGAAAATAATGTCTGTACTTATAGTTCTGTGTTTGCCCTTGCTATGATGATGGTGACCATTTGACAATTGTCATTATCAGCACCTGGAATGTTGTGTGATATAGTGTAATCTTGGAAACCTCTCAGGACTCAAAAGAAATTATCGCAATTTTTGTCAAGTCATAGCAAATGAAGTTGAATTGCTTTCCAGTCATCCCTACCTCATACTCCATGGGAAAGGCAGACAAAACAAAACAGATAGGGATTGGTCCAGATGAGAAAATATTTTATTTGTGTCCATAGATGATACTAAAACTACCACCATGGCATGAGGGTCATGCCAGGAGACTAGTTCAGTCTGTATATAGAGACCAAATCAGAACAGAATCAGAGATCTCTTGGCTCAACAAGAAGGATCTGGAAGAAATGGAGCTTTCTTGTTTGTTTCTTTCTTAAAGTCTAGAGGTAAATTTTAGATAGTTGCAATGGAAGCTCAAACTCTTTTCCAAACCATAGTGAATTTTTTCCAATGTTCATTTTTAAATTCTAAGCATAACACAGTTTGTAAAATGTTGAAGCTATACTTGATTATTAACTGTAAACAATAGAACTATTCAACTTTAAAGAAAACTAATAGTTTCACCTTGAAATACTATCTACCAAAAAACAAAACCAAAAAATTCAGTTCGGGACTGAGAAGGTGGCTGAGTGGTAAGAGAGCTTGCTTACCATCCATGGAGCCCTGGGTTCGATTCCTCAGTACCACATATACAGAAAAAAGCAGGAAGTAGTGCTGTGGTTCAAGTGGTACAGTGCTAGCCTTGAGCAAAAGAAGCTTGAGGACAGTGCCCAGGGCCCTGAGTTCAAGCCCAGGAACAGAAAAAACAAAAACAAAAAGCCTCAATTCAAGTCTATCAATATAAAATTAATCTAAGATTTCCTAAAGCACAATATCTATAAACAGAATAAGTAGACTCAGAAAGTCAAATCAACTTTGAGGAAACCAAAGTCCTATGATACGCCCTTCTCATCTACCTGATAAAAAAAGTCCTAGTAACTCCCAAGGTTGGACTACTGGTCTATTAAGAGATAAACATACTCTGCTACATCTACTTCCCAAGTGCATAATACAGGGTATGGACACCTTGTTCAAGCAGGGCCCTAGAACAGAGCTTCTGGCCCCAAACTTCCACATCAAGGACCAGATGCCCCAGGGGGCACAGAGCCTCTGCCATCTCTGCCAGCTTGCAGTAGATGGAGACCTCTGAATACCGATGTACCAGTGGTTGGCCACAGCCACTGCAGCTGCGATGTGAGAAGAGATAGTGAGTTGCAAGGCCTTCAGCAGAGATGGCCGAGGCTTCCGCCCAGCCTTTTCCAAGGCCACCGTCCAGATAGCTGGAGCCTGTGTCTGACAAAGGGTCCTATGCAGCACTTCCTTCACACTTGTACTAGGAGCCTCAGGGCTGGTCACAGAGCTCACAGGTGCCAAGGCTCTGGATATGGGAGGTCTACAGATCATGCTCCCTGGAGTTACACCTGCCTGCTCTTTGGAATACCTGGTCCTTCAGCCCCCCAACTTCAGGAGACCACACTCTCCCTTTCTGCCCACAGTCCCCAGCCACATCTGTAGCCCTGTACTAATCCACTGGGCACCATGGACTGCCACGCCTCTGCCAAGAAAGACAGATAAAGCAGTGCCTGATACCCAGAGGATAACAAGAGCCCACCAGCTTCCAATGTCCCCAGAGCTGTTGAAACTGGAGTCATTATCCCTGAGCACATGATTGGCTTCAACTTTAAGTGTATGGTCTGACAGCTTCAATATTTACGTTGTTTGTTGTTATCTATTGGTATTGGTGCCTTTTTCTAAGGTTGTTTGATTCTCTATTTGACATTTTACATTTGAAAAAAAAATCTTAATGAGACCAATATATGGTACATTGACAGCTTCTCCCAGTTCTACTAAAAAAAGAAACTAAATTAATGGAAAAATGTTAAAAAGCAAAAGAAGAAAATTTAGGGAGAGGGGAGGTGAGTTAGTTAAAAGTTGTTTCTGTATGGAATATAAAATAAATGCATATTTACCCAATTTATAGTGCTAAGTCTCTAAAGTATTAGTTATCTTTTAACTACTGTTATAGTGTGAACTAGAACTGTCCTCCAAAGGCCAGTGTTGGGAGCTTGCTTGTTAGCCAATGGTGGTATTGGGAGGTGGTAGAGCCTAGAAGAGGTATGGCCTAATGGGAGGAAGCTAGGCAATTGGGTAGAAGATAGTCCCCTTGAAGAGAGTGTTGGGATATAGATATCTTCCTGACTACTTAACATCCATCATGATGTGAGCAGCCTCATCCATCACACTCAGTTATGTTCTGCAAGCAACTGGAAGAAGTGACTATGGACTTAGATTATGAGCCCCAAAAACAACATTAAAAAAAACTTTCCCTGCTTTTAAGTTGATGATCTTGGCAGCTTATCATAGTCATAGAAAATGACCAACACAGCTATAAATAGAGACACCAGCCAATACTGAACCACAATACAAAAGCAAAAGCAAAAGGAAACCTACATGGTTTTCTCCATCTCCAACCAGAGCAGGATTTTGAGTAACATAAACTGACAAAACCTACATGACATTGAAGTTCTTAAATGCAGTCCCACAAGCTCCATATGGAGTCTGATTTTTCATGAAACAAACACACACTTTGTTTTGTTTCCAAGAAATGGTAGATGTCAAATTATCTGCTCCGATTCTTTCCAAAATCTTCCAAGCACATGGTGAACAGTTCAATCTAGTTGTAGCTTAGAATTATGGGGGGAAGTAAAATGACCTCAAAGGAAGGAATAGACCTGCTTTCAACGTAATTATGAAAAGAATCCCAGTATGTGATTTAAACAATTATAGTTAAAGATAGTCGTGTACTATTGTGTCCTCTAATTCAACTATGCTATTTAGAAAGTTAATTCATGAGTTGAATGCACAGCACCTGTTCAGAGGTATCTACTCATGTGTTAAAATTGACCTTAAAATTAAATGGTATTAAAATAAAAAATGAACAGCCAAGATCCTGGTTAAAATCTCTTAAGGAAGTCAGGAATTTACTGCCTTTAGTTAATATTTGGAAGCAAGCCAACTGCTATCAGAATGCAAAAAGTCATAGATGCCTTTCTAATCTGAGTATCAATCTTGGCTACAGTAGAATTGTGATATACCAGGAATAGAAGCCAGACCTCATCTTTAATCACATTCTTACGTGTCGGTCTTTTTCTTTTCATCTTCTAGAGCTCTTAATGTGAGCTGCAGCCTGTCCGTGAGGATTTCCAGTTCCTGTGTCAGTTTGTATTCCTCCCTAAACTGCTCTCCCAAAAGAACGAGGTCACGCGTGGCATCGTGTAGAGGGATGTCACTCAGGTACAGTCCTCTCCTTGTCAAGTCGTCAAGGTTCATCACACTGCCACACAGAGAAATGAGTCAAAGTCAGGCCCAATTCGTCCACATGACCAGTCCTGTCCTAATTACTGCCAGGAGTTAGTCCTGCTATAGACTACCATATAGAAGGTCACACTGAAGACTTAATAATTCAATTAATACAATTACTTTGTTCTATGACACATTCAACAATCTATCAAAATGCAGTAAACTTGAAATACGTTTTTATTAAGTTGTACTTTAAGGAGCCATTTGCTTAAACTGAAAGATACAATTAGAAATTACCCCATGAAACCAGCTCTGGTGCTTATTATGAGGCTGTTATTTCTTTCATTTTCTCATATTTTCCTTATCAAAAAGAAAAATTAATTTTACTGTCTTAAGAAGAATATTGTTCTCTTGAGAAAACAGATTTTTTTTGGTCCATATGATTTTTATGATGGTTGTTTTTCCCATTTAGAAACAATAATTAAAAGTGTACAAGTAGCATAGAGGTTCCTTAAAAGACTCCACATAGTGCTCCATTATAACCCAGCAATTCCACTTCGGGCATTTACCCGAATGATCCTAACAAGACCATACTTAAGCTACCAGCACAACTATGTTTATTACAGCATTATTCACCATAGCTAAGATATGGAACCAACCCAGATGCCCCTCAGTAAATGAATGGATCAAGAAAATGTATATATATATATATATATATACACAATGGAATTCTATGCCTCCATCAGAAAGAATGACATTGCCCCATTTGTTAGGAAATGGAAAGACTTGAAAAAAATTATATTAAGTGAGGTAAGCCAGGCCCAAAGAAACATAGGTACCATGGTTTCCCTTATTTGCAATAACTAGTATATGTCTGAGACAAGCAGAAAAGGTCAGATAAGATGATCTTAAGTGAAATGAACCCCAAGATAAGGACACAAGTGTTTTCTTTGTTCTTGCTATTGTTTCTAAGGTGATTTTTTTGTTGCTTCGTATGTCCCTCCCCTAAAGTATAACCCATCTTTTCACTGTATTTGATGTCGGTATAATTTGTGGAAGGGAAGGGAAAAAACAAATTGTTTAAATAGGGATACAGGTAGACCCATTACAACAATGAGAAGTACAAGATTCTATGTCGAGAAACAAACTTTACAACTTTGTTGGGGGTGGGGGAAAGTGTGGTCATGGAGATGGGAGGGCAGGGAAGGTAGGGGAAAAACAAAGGAGGAGGCAACAAGAAATGTACTCATTAATTATAAGAAATGTACTCATTACCTTGTTCATGTAACTGTAACCCCTCTGTACAGTATTTTCACAATAAAAAAAGTGTACAAAGGGGCTGAATTGTAGCTCAAGTGGTAGAGTGCTTGTCTAGCATGCACAAAGCCCTGAGTTCATACCACACCAGAAACAGAGATGGGGGGAGAGAGTAGGAGGGAAGGAAAGAAGGAAGGGAGGGAAGGAGGAAGGAAGGAAAGAAGGGAGGGAAGGAAGAAGGAAAGAAGGAAGGAAGGAAGAAAGGAAGGAAGGAAAGAAGGAGGAAGGAAGGAAGGAGGAAGGAAGGAAAGAAAGAAGGAAGAAAGGAAGGAAGGAAGGAAGGAAGGAAGGAAGGAAGGAAGGAAGGAAGGAAGGAAGGAAGGGAGGGAAGGAAGAAGGAAAGAAGGAAGGAAGGAAGAAAGGAAGGAAGGAAGGAAGGAAGGAAGGAAGGAAGGAAGGAAGGAAGGAAGGAAGGAAGGAAGGAAGGAAGGAAGGAAGGAAGGCAAGTATATTTAGTCACTGGTGTTAGTGGCTCATTACTGTGATCCTGGGAACTGTTCAAAACTAGTCCTGACAGAAAACTCTCTAAGATTCCACCTCCAAAATAACCAGCAAAACCAGGCTGGAGACAACTAAGATTGTAGAGTACCAACTGAGCAATAGTGAGCTCCGAGTGGTAAAGAGCCTGTCTAGCTAACATGAGTCAATCCCAGTACCAAGAAAAAATATGAGGGTGTTGTTATTAATCATCTTTGATTTCAACAGTATTTTGTATACTTAAGTATTTCTGATATATGTGGGTTTTGTGTGTATGAGTGTGTGTGTGTGCTTGCATGTACGCATGCTATTCTTAATTCTGGCTCTCGCCTGTCTATTCTTGTTTTCTCTCACTAACTTTTCTTGTTGGTTTGACACATTATTTGACCCACTGAGTTCTATTTATCTTTGTAACTTAAGTCATTTTGGAACCAAAATTATAATGTCCATTGGCTCTGTGAAAGTTCTGATAAGTATAAAGTTGATTGTTAAATATATGTCACTAGTTAAAATTTCTTAAGGTTTTATTATTGCTCTTTAATTCTTTAAATGAAAACTAATAATTTCTGTTAAGAATTAATACTTGTTCTAGAAGGGTAAAATTTGGTTATGATTTTACTAAAAATTTTGTATTAACAAAAGATTTCTATTCAAGATATTCTCAGAAATGTTCATAACTCAAAGGAAAATTTAGTATGCCAAAATATAAAAATAAAATAATTGAAAATTTTATTGACAAAACACACTATATTTTTAGATTTTGTTAAAACAAACATGAAACCTAAAGCCCTCTTGTAGGAATAAATCGATCTGGACAGAAACTAGTTTATTTGCTAAATTATAGGCAAGGTAAGTTCACATAAGGAGAAAAACAAAAAGAAATTAAAAGCCTAAAATGGAAATAAGTAGTGAAAATTTTCATAAAATGTATGATACTTAATTGAATTATAAACATTTCATTGCTCTAAAAATTTCTTATTGTTTTAATAAAGTATGAATGCAAGTATTTTTTGCTGGTAGTAGGTGGGATTTGAACTCAGGACCTAATACTTGCTTGCCTATTTGACTAGTGCTCTACCACATGATCCAGGCCTCCAGTACTGCTTTTTCCTAGTTGATTGGAGATGAAGTTTCATGAACTTTTCTGCCTCAGTTTTAAACCAGGGTCTTCTTTCATGTCTCAGCCTCCTGAGTAGCATGAATCACTGGTATCCAGCTATGAGTCCTTGATTTCAACTAATTATCTTGGAATTATTTATTTTGCAAGTAAAACTTCTTTTATTTGCACTTTTGCATTATTTAACATGAGTTCAATTCTTTCTACAACCATAATCAGACACTATGACAATCTATTGGATCCTGTCTGCATGCAGCAATCAATAATACACTTGAAACTGTCTGAGTCTCTCTCCAAAAAAGCCTGTGTCTAATGGAAAGTTTTCAGTCTACAAAATCTCAACCTGAAAAGGGGAAGAAAATATCTGATAGCAGAGGTATTTCTAAATTTCACAGAGTACTAATGTTTTAAAATTTGTACAATTCATAATTTTGTTTCTATTAATTTTATAATACATTTTTATCAGGAAATGTGTCACTGTGGTTCTTATAAAAGGCAATTTTATAATATATACCATATCCTAATGAAAATAAATATTTTTAATACTAAGTGGCCCAAATCCAAAAATGATTAGAGTTGTCTGTAACTTTTTCTGACATCCTATAGTAAAGTTCATTTCAGGTACTAACTGTACCTGTGTATTTATGCTATCAGTCCAGGTGTTTTCAAAATTGTTTTTCCAGACAATGCTTCTTTTAAAGATATAAAAATACCAACTTGGTTAATAGTACATTAGTCAACCCTCATAAGTTCTTCAAAAATAGATTATGAGGTGACATACATATGCATGATTTCTCGAGTTTATTAACATATGTTTGTTGAGCTCATTGCTGTCATGGAGCATTATAAAGCAAGGGTTGGAAAACCTAATTTTACATCAGCATATGCAAGCATAGGGAATAAAATTTTATTATCAATGCATTCTGTATACATATGGTAAATCTTATGCTAAATCCCATTAATATACACAATTAAGATATGTGAATAAAAATATAAAAAATTACATGTTGCTGAATTTATTTAAATTAAGATGTAGACATTAATTAAAATGAATTCCAAAATTATTACCTTGGTGAACAAAGGAAAAGTATGCTATCTGCTTCAGGTAAGTAGATCATTTGACCTTTGAGGCGTAAGCAGCTGATCTCTGTCCCAGTCAGTTCACCTTCACATTCTAGTTTCTCTACATCCAGCAGTCCTTCCTTGAAAAGGTAAGACAGTGTTGATTAGTGCTTTCTTCTACCCGACCATTGAGCAGCAAGGAAACAGCAGACTGCTCACCAATCTCCAGAGAAGTCAGGGTACCAATTAGACCAGGAGGGGGAGTTTCTCCAGGCAATTAACAGTTTCTCCCTTTCAACATCAGGGAGAAACAAATATGCCAGGAACTTCTCCTTTCATTCAGAAGGGCATGCTTCTGGTCATGTATTTAAGTTTCTGTCCCCCTTGACTTTCCAAAAGGACTGCAACATATATTACTGGGTTCCAACAAAAATAAACAGGCTAACCTTCACAGAGCAGCTGACAGTAGTCAGAATCAGGAAGTTGTACACTTAGAAGATTGATTTTGCTAAAATTATCCTAGGAACACAAACTATGAGATGAGGAAGCCATCCAAATTACCAACAAGATTATTTTATCATTCTTCTATTCCCACAAAAAATGGCACCAAGAATAATAAACAACTTAAGGAAGACTAAATCAGCAGCATAGGGTAAAGTTAAAGTCTTTGTTAGTGCTTTGAGTTCTAAAATAAGCATTGAGGCTGAGTGGGGAGCAGAAGGTGTTGGTTTTACTATGTGAATCTCAGATGTACCAGCAAGACACTCTAAAACTTACTTTAGGTCATTCAGACTCAACTTGACTGAAGTCCAAGCTCCTCAGCCAAGCTACAGAGCCAGAGCATTGCCTTTTAAAAGCCATCATTTTTGAGAATTGTTTTTATCACCCTATAACCTTTCCGTCTCGTTGAACATGACAGTTGATACTTTTTCTTCCTCTCCTTTTCTAATTTCTAACACACCTTACTTATTCATATTTAACTTTTAAAAAAAGGCCTTGATTACCTTGCTTCTCAACACAAACACTGTATTGATGTGTGAAAGGATCCCATGGAAACTAATGTCAATATGAGGACGAACCAGAGAGAAGACAGAGAGAAGACTGCAGTTCCCAGGCTGGAGCTAAAGTGGAGGTAAAGAATAACGGGCACTTCATTAATTAAAGTGACTGTTATAATTTGAGGTTCACAAGTAGGTTAAGCAAATCTATATTAAAAATAGAAAAGGTACTCCATGAACTTAGATTTTCTTTATGCCATACAGTGATTACTTGGACATCAAATTACTGCAAAAGGCCAGGTGCCAGTGACTCACACTTGTAATCCTACATACGTGTTAGGCTGATAGCTGGAGACCCCAGTTCAAAGCCATTCCAGGCAGGAAAGTCAGAGAGACTCTTCCTTCCAATTAACCAGCAAAAATTCAGAAGTGGAAATTAATTCAAACCCTGATATCGACACATGCATACACACACACACACACACACACACACAATCACACACAAAAACATACACAAACACAAACTCAAACACATACATACACAAAACAGTTATATAGGCAAGAAACTTTATACATCTACAGTTACCTGAAATTCAAAGGTAAACTAATACAAAGAAAATAAACATTTTTCAAAAGAAGAAAGAATAAAATATGAAAATATATGTTAAATGCCTATGCCTTAAATTTAATTTAAATATAAAAACAACTGCAGACACTTCCTTCATCAAAAGAAGGTTGGTAATAACAGCCATGAGTGACATTAATTGGTTGCTTATGATGGTGGGCCAGGCACTGGACTAGGGGTTCTTCGTGTGTTCTCTGCTTGGGTCAGATCAGAGGGAAGAAGGGCAGAGGCAGAGTGATTCAAATACTTGGGAGCAGTGACAGTATAGCACCACTCTTCTGCTGACAGATTTACGGATTTCCAATTTGGAAGAATCCCGAATTCCAAGTAAAAAGTGCCTCTATCGACATGCCTCCTAAAGCATTTAGTGGATGAAAAGAAAAGTATGGTTTTAGGAATAAAAATCTAATGTCTGCTGTAACCATATTTGGTCCTTTGTTGCTTTTTCTACCAATTATCTCTATCGCTTTTCACTCTTTAGTGCCTTTCTTCTCCCTGAAAATGTCCATTTCTGATTATCTAAGCAGTTTTCAGAAGGTAGTGTGGTAGAGATTTACTCTCTACATGAATTCAGAAGTTAGAGCTGGTTGCTATTACAAAAGTTTTCCTTTGCTCATGAAAAGAAGTCTGTCATTCTCATAAATCTCTTTTCTCTGTAATGATTAAAGTGGAAATAGACAAAAAGTGTCCTGGGTAAGGTATGGAAAGTCTAAGCACAGTGAGGTTAAAATCCTGGCAATGTGATGTGTGATGTCACCTGGTACACACTCAGAGGGTGGAGTCCATGAAAGGTCGGGTGTGACAAGTGTTAGATTCTGTGGGTATGTGTAGTGTTTTACCTGGGGGAGCACTCGGTATATGGCATTGCCACACTGAGTGACTACTAGGTCCCGGTCAAAGATGATGTGAAACGGAAAAGCTTTGCAGAAGGTATATGGGCTGATACGTGACTCCTGGGTGCCATTTTCTTCAAATCTGTCAAGGTCCTCATAAAAATCCTCTTCTTTTGACTCCTTTTCTTCAATTAAAAATTGAGTATGATCACATTCTTCATTTCTTTGCTGAATAACCTGAATGTCAAAGGGAGGAAGCTATGTTAACTGTTGTATTTCAGTTTACTTAAAATACCTAAATAAGCTGGGCACTGGTAGTTCACACTTGTAAACTCACAAGGCAGAGATCTTGGGTTCGCCATTCAAGGCCAGCCCAAGCAGGAAAGTCCATGAGACTCTTATTTCCAATTAAGAACCAGAAAACCAGAAGTTGAGCTGTGGCTCTAGTGGCAGAGTACTAGCTTGAACAAAAAGTCCCAGAGACAGCACCCAGGCTCTGTATTCAAGTCCCAAGACCAACACCCACGCACACACACACACACACACACACACACACACACACACACACACACACCTATATATAACTGGGAGATAACAAGGGAAGAGGTGGCAGTTTCCAGAAAGAAATGAAATTAATCTGACTTATGAAACTGTAAGCCCACTTACATCATCATTACAATAACAGTAAATAAATTTTTAAAAAGAATTTGTTATGAGAATTACATTCGAAAGCTAAAATTACAATTAGAATCTGTATAAATCACTATACATGCCCCAAATAGAAAAGTATTTGTATCCATTGACCTATGAAATGAAAAGATGGAAATTTTTATAAATTGCCAACCTGGCCTTTTGGTTAGAAACAGTGGAAAAGCACTCCCTCAGCATGAGGCACACTTATTCAATGAGTAATATATAAAGCACAAGTATCACTTCCTAGTGTGCAAATAAGAGCTATTAAGACAATAGAAATTAAAATATAGAGATGAATACATTAAAACTTCTGTGATGTCATTTTTAATACATCACTTGTCAAGAATTTAAAAAATCAAGCCAAGTAGTGTCTCAAGCCTATAATTCCAGCTACTTGGAATGCAGAGATGAGGGTAAGTGAGGAAAAAAAGAGTTTGCGAGACTCTGTCTCCCTAAATGACTGGTTGTAATGGTATACACCTGTCATTCCAGCTACAGAGGAAGCCCAGTGGGTGAGTGCAGAGGTGCTGTGATCCCAGTGAAAAAGGAAAGTATAAATAGGAGGATCATGGTCCAGCCTAGCAGGGGTTTGTATCAAGACCCTATATCAACAATATGCAACACAGAGAGGACTAGCATCATAGCTCGTGTGGTAGAGCTCCTGCTTAGCAAGCACAAGGTCCTCCAAAACCCTTAGTACTATCAATCACAAAAAAAAGAAGAAGAAGAAGAAGAAAGTACTGCCTCCTAGGTAGCCAAAATAGAGGTTCTTTGTATTCACTGTGTCTCAAGCTTAGGGACACTGCAAAATGGTACTGTGGACTGAACTAAACACATAAAGCAGCTTACTGGGAGACCATATGATCAACGATAGGAAAACATTGTGATACTTCTTGTTAGACAATTGTAATATATGAAGTACATTGAAATTACCACTCAAAACTAACGACATTTGTTAAGATGCTAAACTAAGCTACTTTTGCGAAACTACCTTGATTTTTTTCTTTTTTTGGGGGGGGGCGTCCGGTTGTGGGGCCTGAACTCTGGGCCTAGGCGCTGTCCCTCAGCTCTTCAGCTCAAGGCTAGAGCTCTACCACTTGAGTCACAGCCCCACTTCTGGCTTTTTTTCTTTTTGCTTATGTGGTGCTGAGGAATCGAACCCAGGGCCTCATGCATGCAAGGCACTCTACCACTCAGCCACCTTCCCAGCCCCAACTACCTTGATTTTTTAAGCCACTTTTTCCACTGATCAAACAATCTAACTATATTTCAGTGCAGACAAAAATATGCACAATGAAAGAAAAAAGAAATCTGAAAAATCTTTTCTAACTTGACATGAATTTTCTGTTTGGCTATACACTGGATGGTTCTCTTGCATGCCTCAACCAACACCTCAACCAATCATATGTTCTTTTGCTTCCCAGCTGGCGAGCTCTCACATGGAAAGCAAAATAAATCTCCCCTTGCCTCAAGCAATGTATAATTAAAAGTCTTCTGCCCTCCTTGTAAAAAAAAACACCCTACATAGTACATTCCAACACCAAATATAAAATATTGCTTGGGATTTTACCAGTCTGGCTTATACATGCTTCTTATGAATGCCATTACCAGCTATAACTCCAGAAAAATTCAGACAGTAGCATTTGCAATATCAAAAATGTCATCAGTGTTCAAGACAGCTTCTATCCTTGATCCTTACCTTCATGTCTATTTCAGTGCCATGTATTTGTTGAGCAACAGTTTTGATGATCCCAATGACAATATCCTGCAGTCCTTCTCTCTCTGAGTAGTAGTGCAGAATAAGTCCTTTGCCCTTCTCCGCATCAGTACACCTGAAGGAAGGTGCACGCATGCCTGGGTAGATGGTAGCAAGGTGATCGTGCAGAGCATCAAGGTTCTGCAGTAAAAAGGAGAGAATGACGAATAAATGATACTTCCATAATAACAGCACAGTTCTGCAATGCAAGAGATGGAAACAGTCTTTAATCTGAATTTACTGGGTGGGTCAGCAGAGTAAACACATACATAACATAGCATTTACTGGGATCTGTTAGGCAAGTACTGTAGAGAAGTTGAAGGGAAACTAACATAATTAAGACAGAGCATTTGAAGAAAAGACAAACAACAAACAAGTGGCACATAAAAAGAAATGCTTTCCACAGAACAAAGAAGATAGTTATGTGTGAAAGCAAAAGCAAGTGTACATACAGAGGTTTAGGACAGGAGTATGTATAGGTTGTGTTAAGTAAAGAATGCCCCAAGTGACCTCCTCTAAGTAACCTCCTTCTTTTTTATCTACTACTATCAATTTATGTTTAACTACATTGAAGTAAAAAAAAGTATTATTTGTGGATAAATTAAAAAATACATTTTACAAATTAAAGTAGTATAATATCTTCCTATTCATCAAGGTAAAGAGTTATGGAAACTCAGGAAATAACTTTAATCGAAGTGTTAGAGAAGTATACCACTCACTTAGAACATGCAAATTTCTTAACATCTTGTACTATATAATAAAATGTAAAACTCGTTTGTATAAAGAGGCCACAATAAGGATCTAAACTACATATTTAATTTGGTTCAATATGATGCTGTAAGTAGCACTTAGTTTGCAGTTTGTCAGTGTATCAGTGTGGTCATGAAGGCTGATACTTTGATTCAAAAACAAGTTTCAATGACCTTCTCAATTGGATAAATCTGATTTCTTTTATATTGCCTCTATCACACTGCTTTTTGTTTTCTTTTTTTTTTCAAATTCTATCTCTTAAAATCTAGTCAGGTTAGTCCCTAACCAAACCATCAACTTATCCTGATTGCCTCTAGCAGCTTCTATGACATGTAGATGTAATCCAAGATGATGACACCAAGCATTGGAGAGTTTATATGAACCACAGATATTATATTTCTTTTTACTTGGTTGATCGTATGAGGGTCTATTCCTATGACAAGTTCTTCACTGAGAAGAAAAAAACTGAGGGCTGCTGTCCACAAACCCCTAGATTACTTGTCATTCTACTGAATTGTGAAAAATCTTGTGAGAGAAAATTTCCTGAAAAAATGTAATTGTCAACAAAGTTGTATTTTTTTCTCCATTTTCCATAAAGTCAAAATTGAACTTTAGCTACATTAAAGACATTTTTCTATTATAGTCCAGTCTGATTCCTGGATTGTATGTAGCTCATTAAAAAGAAAGAAAATGGTCTCAAATAGGTAATTTTTTCAGTATTTCTTTAAAAAAAAGCTTAAATATTTAAAGATGTCATATGTCCATAAACACTTGTAGTTGTTTCCATTTTCTATCCTTGGTATTATCAGCCAGTTTCCCATGAAGTCAAGACAATGACATGCAGCAATGCTAAATGGCATCATTTGTGGTTACCTTGGACCTAATGGAGGTCAGATTCTGCAACTGATCACTCCAACTTGTATATGCTGGATCATTAAAGATGCAGGTACTACACCATAGAGTGGTTTGAACCATTTGCTTTAATGATTGAACTGAGGACTGAACTCAGGGCCTATATACTCTACCACTTGAGTCATGCCCCCAGTCAATTTGCTTTTTGTTTTAGAGATAAAGTATCATTAACTTTGCCTTAGTAAAGTTACTTCTACCTCTTTGAGTAGCTGAGATTATAGGTATGAACCACAAGGCCTAGCCTTAGAGTTATTTAATATGAATAAAAATGTGAATAGTATTAGAATGTTAAAATTGATAATAAAATATTCCTTACATCGTAAAGGCAAGTGGGAAACTAAAAATGCTGAATAAGAATGTTCGAGTTGTATGGATTTTTTTTTGTGGTCACCAACTCTACAGAGATCAGCTGTTTTATTGAATTTGCTACTAATTAATTGGACAAGTAAAGTGCTTTTCTGAAGCATGAAAGATTTAGCACCACTTAATGTCATATTGATTTTCTTTAGACAGTAGCAAACACAAAAGATACTCTTGGGGTTTCTTTAGTTACAGCTTCCCTCACTTGTTTTTACTGTCTCAAAATTAAAGTGATTACAACTTGGTTATTCTAAGTAATGGGATTAATAATTTGAAATGAAATTATTTTTGTTTGAGTCAATTTATATTGCTAATAAATTTGACATTTTCATATTTGGATTATAATTGTTGCAGCAACTTTAAAAAGTCACAGACATGATTCTCAGAAGAACAAGAGAAAAATCATTTGTAGACTGGATAGTCCTGTTCCAGCAGAGTTGAATATTCACATGACTATAGTAAAACATTCTGAGGAATCAAAGTTTGCCATTAAAACCAAAATTCTGGAGCTGGGTGCTGGTGGTTCATGCCTGTAATCCTAGCTACTCAGGAGCTTGAGATCTGAGAATCACAGCTTGATGCTAGCCTAGCAAGAAAGTCTGTGAGGATTTTAGTTCCAATTAACTATCCAAAAAGCTAGAAGTGAAGCTGTGGCTCAAGTGTTAGGACACCAGCCTTAACCAAGAGCTCAGGGATAGAGCATAGGCCCTGAGTTCAAGCCCTGGGTCTGGCACAAAAAACAAACCAATAAATTAACAAAAACATCTGATATTGTTTTAATTCTCTGAGTGACCTTGGAAGCATCCTGGGTGCTTAATGGCCAAGTATACAGAACTGTACATATGCATAAAAGCCAAGGAGACATGAAAAAATGTCAAAACATATTCTACCACATAAGGAAAGTGCCAATAAACAATGAAGCTTAGCAATAACTTTGGCAATGTGGCAGGACACAAAATTAACCTATAAAAATCAGTAGCCTTTCCATATATCAACCATATACCAACAATGCACAAAAAGAGAAATTAGGAAAACAACTCCATTCACAGTAGCCTCAAAAAAATTCTAGGAATAAGCCTAACCAAAGAAGCAAAAGATCTTTATAGTGAAAGCTATAAAAATTTGAAGAAAGAAATCAAAGAAGACACCAGGAAATTCCATGTTCATGGATGGGTAGAATTAATATTGCAAAAATGGTTATACTGACAAAAATGGTATACAGATATAATGCAATTTGCATCCAATCCCAATGAAGTTCTTTACAAACATAGAGAAAATAATCCAAAAATTCATAGGGAACAACAAAAGACTTTGAATAGCCAAAACAATTCTAGGCAAGATAGTAATGTTGGTACTATTACAATCACAGACCTGAAGCTCTACCACATAGCTATAATAACAAAAACAACTTGGCATAAAATAAATCCAAAGATCAATGGAACAGACTAGAAGACCTGGAAATAACCCATATACTTACAGTTATCTGATATTGATAAAGGTGCCAAGGATATCTAGTGGAAAAAAGCCTGTTCTTCACTATTCTATTCAGAAAACTGGGTATCCATATGCAGAAAACTAAAAATTAGCCCTGTTTGTCACTGTAGACAAATATCAACTCAAAGTGGATCAAAGATCTCATCAAACCTGAAACTTTGAACCTACAACAAGAGGGAATAGGAGAAACACTAGAACTGATAGGCATAGGCATAAACTTTTTGAAGAGTCCCAGGATCACAGCAAATAGGAGAGAGACTGGACAAATGAGATTACATCAAAGTAAAAAGTTACAGCACAGCAAAGAACTTAGTTACTAAACCAGAAGGACAACCAACAGACTGGGAGATTTTTTTTTTTTTATATTGTGAAAATACCATACAGAGACTGGGAGATCTTTACCAGCAATACACCAGATAAAGGCCTAATATTCAAAGTATACAAGTCACTCAAGAAACTAGCTCCTCCCAAAGCAAATAAACCAATCACTAAATGGGCAAAGGAGCTAAGGAGAGACTGCTCAGAAGAAGAGGTAAGAATGGCAAAGAAATACATGAGGAAATGCTCACCGTCCCTGGCCATAATGGAAATGTAAATCAAAACAACTCTGACATTCCATCCCATTAGACTGGCTGACATCGTGAATTCCAACAACAATAAATGTTGGCAGGGATGTTGGGGGTAAAAGTGAACCACTCTGGATAGCAGTCTGGAGGTTCCTCAAAAAAAAAAAAAAAAAACTAAACATAGATCTTCCGTATGAGCCAGGGCATCTGCCCAGAACATCGCAAGCTAGGATACCATAAAGATACTTGCACATCCATATTCATTGCTGCACTATTCACAATAGCCAAGTTGTGGAAACAGCCCAGATGTTCTATAAAAGGTGTGGTACTTATACACAATGGAATTTTACACAGCCATTGGAAAGAATAATATTGTGTCATTTGCAGGAAAATGTATGGACCTAGAACAAATCATGTTAAGTGAGGTAAGCCAAGCACAAAGAGAAAAAAGGCACATGTTTTCTCTCATATGTAGAAGATAGATATAAAATACACTGGGACATAATAAATTATACATGTCTGTAGGTATTCACACACAGTGAGACCAAAGGAAGAGATTCTTAGGAGAGGAACAGAAAGGTACATGCCTATGTACATCTGATTATACAAAGTAATATTTATCAAAATGAAGTCCAGGAAATGGAAACAAAAGTTTTTTTTCTTTTTTTCTTTCCTTTCTTTTTGTCTTGTTTGTCTAGATGTCTTTGGTAGTATAAGGGGAGGCACAGAAATGGAGAATGTCCAAACAACAAATGCAGCAACAGTACTTGCTGGACCCTATGTTGAAAATGAACTATACAGTCTGTAAGTGGGGACTGGAGGGAAACACTAAGAGACAGAGAGAAGGATGGGGTGACATCCTCCAAAAGGCAAAGTACTCTTTGCCTGACTTACGTAACTGTAACCTTAATGTTTTTTTTAGCATTTTCAAATAAAAAAAGAAGCAAACCTGAAATATACTTGCACTCATTTTCTTATTGTCTTTATACAATAATTTTTAAAAAGGATACTTTATTTTGAGATATCAATCTAAGATTAGTCTGAGGATGTAATTCTTAG